CGTAATATGATATAAAATTATCGTACGTTTTTCAGTTTATATATATCTCACACACTAGTATTAGCTTATATTGTATCCAATTTGTAAAAAAATATTAATTATGTGTTTTAATTTGTTGGAATTGTGTATTTTGATCCTTATTTGAGAAAATCTTGAAACGTTTAGTCCTTATTTCAGCATTTAGCCATCAGAAAAGGGCTTATTTGGCCTTTTTAAAGAGTTCAGGGGCTTATTTGGCTACAATTAGAGTTCAGGGGCTTATTTGACCGTTTTGTGTAAGTTCAGGGGCCTTTTTGAGCAATAAGCCCCATATAATTTGTATTAAGTAGCAATTCATAAAAATAAATTCCATCTAATATAAAAGTATTTAGTGTAACATATAATTGAGGTCTTTGGAAAAAAAAGTCTTCTCTACCACATTGAATCTAGATTGATTTAGAGTCGAGATTGGATTGGATTAAAAAAAATTCTTATAATCATATGATTCGAATTAAAAACCTTATTTAACATATATTCATCAAATTTCTTTTACTTAATCCAACAATTGCTTGAGAACTATTATACTCTTTGGGTCCGTTTGGTATTGTTTTTGTTTTTGATTTTTTTTTTTTGCCAATTTTCTATTTTTGGAAACAAAACTGTGAAAACATGTTTGGCAGGCTGTTTCTGTTTTCAAAAATTTTGGAAACAGAATCAGTGTTTTGGAAAAAAGTGGAAGCAAGAATTTTGTGTTTTCATGTTTTTCCAAAACACTTTCAAAACACAGAAACACATTGATAAACAGTAACAGAAATACTTTTTTCACCAATTTTTTTTTAACTTTTTATTTAAAAACATGCAACAAAAATGTATATATCCAAACATGTTTCTATTTTTAAAAAATTGACAGCGTAACAAAAACAAAACGAAAACGAAACAAAAACAAAAAACAGAAAAACGAAAACGATACCAAACGACCCCTTAATTTTTTATTTTCAATCATTGAAAATTGTTGTTTTTTTTTCTTTTGAACACCTACACCTCAAGCATAAAAAAGCTTAAATTTGCCCTTGTACACAAATCCAAACAGGAAGAAGAGATAGCTAAGTGACGTCATGGGATCTCTCTCCTCTCTCTTCTCTCTCTTCTTCACTCTCCTTCCTTCTCTTCGCTAAATGGCTGAGTTTGATTTCCTCCAATCTTTTGCTCGTAGGGAGCCTGAGATCTCTTGCGGTGTGTCTGTAGAAGAAAAGCCCTCTCCCAGATCTGGGTGTGTAGAGGGAAATTCTTCTCACCGACCCTCCTTTAAAGAAATTTTGACTAAGCCTGCTTTTTCTTCTTTTAATGATTGCTCCACTCTGGAGAATGTGTCAGATGATGAGGATGAGGATGATGAGAATTGTTCGATTCCTTGCATTAAACTCTCTGTTGAGGAAAAGAGGAGGGTGCAGGTTCCATGGGTTAACGCTCTGCACATCTTCTTAAAGGGGAAGCCTCTGCCCTTCAAAGTCATTTATGACAAACTTAAGGAGTTATGGAAGCTTGTGGGTAGGTACCAAGCATTTAATTTGGGTAAAGGCGTCTTGCTGGTACGGTTTGAAGATAGGAGGGACTATGACAGAGTCCTTGGTTCTGGGCCCTGGTTTATTGGCTCTACGAGTCTGGTGGCTAGGAAATGGGTTGCTAATTTCCAACCCTCTGAGCTCCATGACGCTAGATCGGAATTGGTTTGGGTAAGGATCCCAAAAATGCCATCTGAGTACTTTGATAAACCTACCCTGGTTCGTGTGGGAAATGTCATTGGTGCCTTTATTAAGTTGGATTATCATACAGATAACAGCAGTAGAGGTCGATTCGCAAGGCTGTGTGTTCAAGTCTCTTTAGACAAACCATTGCTAAGCCATGTGAAAATAGGACGGACAAAGCTGGATATTCAATACGAGAATGTGGCTGCCTGTTTTTCATGTGGTATGTTGGGGCATAAAAAAGATAAGTGCAGTAATTCTAAGAATATCCAGGCAGGGGTTATTGCAGAAGAAATGGGGCCTTGGATGATTGTCTCCAACAAAAAGGACAAGAAATCAAGGTCAAGGGGAAGATCAAGGCGTCGATAGTCCAATGGAAGACGACGCTCCAGTTTGAGGAATCAGAGATCTGGGTCAACGAATAAGGTTGAACGAATTTGGCGGCGAAAAGACAAAAGTTTGAATTTTGAAAATGGCATTGAATGTGGTGATTTAGGCGAAATTAAATTGAAGCTGTGGCTGAGCCGTTGAAGCTGGCTGAGGATGAATTTGAAGCTGTGGCCGAGCCGTTGGAGCCGGCTGAGTTAGTTGATGGGCCTGATGTGGGCCATGAGATGGATCGAAATGTACAAGTAGAGGTAGGCTTTTGTTCACAGGCCTCTTCGTCATATGCACAGGAGTTAGTTCCGGAGAGCCCAAGGCTTCCAAACCCAATAGTCAAGGGGAAGTATTTAGAAGAGTCAGACTCTAGGGTTTCTGTTTCATCCCTTCTCGAAGCCGCTGGTTACTCGCCTCAAACAGTTCGCAAAACCCTAGGCCCCGATTTGGAAGAAGATGGAGGATTCGCAGAGTTCGGTCAACTCTCCAACCAACTTGAGGGAGTCAGTGATAGAAATTCTGGAGAAGATGCTGGGAATAGAGTTTCCGTCGATGAAACTGACAGACAACATCTACATTCTGTCGGAACCGGTCTTGGATGACATAACCAAAGTCCTCTTGGGAGATCTGATGGCGACGGAGATGGATACAAAGGGATGGATGGAGGAGACGCCATTGTTGGCACACTAGTTGGACATCAGAATTCCAACGGAGGAAGAGGTTCTCCTGCTAACAAGGAATCCCCAAGTAATCCAGGCTATAATAGAGAAAGGGATCTGGATTCCCTCAAGGATGAGATTAGCATTAAGGAACCACCCGCCGCAGATTGTGAGAATGCCGATAGAGGAGACGGTGACAACTTGTCTGTTGAGGGAAAGTTCAAACTTAGCCTATCTGATGGAGGGTCCTGTGGAAATGGCTTTCGTTTGCGTAAGGTACTCAGGAGCGCTCGAATAAGGGTCCCTAAACCATCGGGTGGAATTGATGCCAAACGAGCCAGGCGAATCATCTTCATCGACGAGGTCAAAGCTTTACAAGAGAAACTCCAGTATGGAGGCACCAAACCCACAAAAAACCCCAATGATAGTACTGAGTTATAATGCTATGGGTGCTAGGAACCCGGATTTTAAGAAGATTGTAGCTGATTTGGTCAGGAACAACATGCCTAATATTTTGGTCATTACTGAACCTAGAATTGGAGGTGTCAGGGGGAAGATTATCAGGAGAAGTTTGGGTTACGACTCGGATAATTTTGTGGACCCTTTGTGTTTTTCGGGTGGTATTTGGGTCTTGTGGAACAAAGATAATTTAGAGGTTGAGGAGATGAGCAAAACACAACAGGAAATCACTCTTCGAATTAAGGTCAGATCTTCCTCCTTTCATTTTGCTATCTCTGCCATTTATGCTAGCCCTAACTTGGCCTCTAGGGGTCTTCTTTGGAATTATCTATGTTCGTTAAATTCTTATTTGAATTCACCGTGGTTATGGATTGGGGAGTTTAACGAACCCCTGAGATCTTGTGACAAGTTTGGTGGTCGTAGAATTAATGCTAGGAATGCTTCTCTTTTAAATGATTGTATTGACTCTTCTAGCATGATTGATGTGGGCTTTGTTGGCCCGAAGTTTACTTGGTCTAATTTGAATCCTATTGCTTCTCTTATTCAAGAAAGGATAGATAGAGCCTGGATTAATAATGAGTTTCACTATGCTTTCCCTGAGTCCATGGTGTACCACCTGCCTAGAGTTGGATCTGATCACTGTCCGATCCTTTTTAAAACTTGCACTTCGCACTCTTTTTTTAAAGACAAACCTTTTAGATTTGGACCTATGTGGTTCACTGATCCTTCGTTTTTTGAGATTATTAAATCTGTTTGGCATGGAAATGATCTTGACTTTGATAAAATTGTGCCCGTTTTCATTGATCTCATCAAAGTTTGGAATAAAAATGTCTTTGGAAACGTTTTTAAAAACAAAAATAGACTGCTGGCTCGCATTAATGGCATCCAGAAAGCTTTGGCTGATAAACCTTCCCAGTTTCCCTTGGACCTTGACAAAAAATTGAGACTTGATTTTGCTTTGGTGCTTAGGCAAGACGAAACTCTTTGGGCTATGAAATCCCGAATTAACTGGCTTATTGAGGGTGATAACAATACTAAGTTTTTCCATTCGTCCGCTTTAGTTAGAAGAAAGAATAATAGGATCTATGGCCTTAAGGATAGTCTTGGAAATTGGCTTTATGGGGATGCTTGTGTTGCCCATGTTATTGATTTTTTCCAATCCCTTTATTCTTCTGAGCTTTCTAGCTGTAACTTGTTATCTGTGGATTGTCCTCTTAATATTAGGAAGTTGGATTCTGCTAGCCATAATAGTCTGGTGTCTATCCTTGAGTTGGATGAAATTAGGACTGCCCTCTGGCAAATGAAGCCTTTCAAGGCCCCGGGACCTGATGGTCTCCATGCTGCATTTTTCCAGAAATGTTGGAATGACATTAATGACACCCTGCTCAAAACTATTCAGCAGATTTTCTCCTCCTTTAAGATGAAGGATAATTGGAAATCTTTTCTCATCTGCCTTGTGCCTAAGACTCTTAGTCCTGAGACCATTAAATTGTTTAGGCCTATTAGTTTAGGGAATACCTGTTACAAGCTCACTACTAAAATCATTGCTAATAGGATTAAACCCTTTGTGGATAACCTCATCAATCCTATGCAAGCAGCATTCATCTCTAGAAGAAGAGCTGCTGACAATATCATTATTGTCCAAGAAGTTGTCCATACTGCTAGGACTAGTTCTTGTAAAGAGGGTTGGATGGCCATTAAGATTGACCTGGAGAAAGCCTTTGATAGGCTGGAGTGGAGCTTTATAAGAGATATGCTTATGTTCTTTAATTTCCCGCATGACTTAATCAGCCTGATTCTTTCTTGCATTTCTTCTCCTAGCCTTGTTGTTCTTTTCAATGGGACTGCTTCTTATCCTTTTACTGCTTCTAGGGGAATTAGGCAGGAGGATCCTATTTCCCCATACCTGTTTATTCTTTACATGGAGTTTTTGTCTCTGTCCATTGAAAAAGATGTTCAGGATGGGAATTGGAATCCTATTAGGATAGGTAGAGGGGGGCCTTTCATTTCTCATGCTCTTTTTGCGGATGATGTGATTCTCTTTGCTAAAGCTAATGAGAAAAATTGCCTTACTGTCCTTAATACTTTACGGAATTTATGTAACAGGTCTGGCCAAAAGGTCAATTTTGATAAAACTAGAGTGTGGTTCTCTCCTAAAGTTGATTATGAAAAAGTTAAGAACCTCACTGACCTACTTGGCTTTAAGAAAACTGATAATCTACGTAATTATCTTGGTCATCCGATTCTTGATAGGAAGGGTAAGAAAGTTGACTTTTTGTTCATAATCGAAAAAATTAGGGATAGGCTAACTGGATGGAAAGCTAACTCCCTTTCCTTGGCTGGTAGAACCACTCTAATCTAGTATGTTACCTCTTCCATCGCTGACTATCCTATGCAAGTTTCCCTTCTCCCCTCCTTGATTCATAATGAAATTGATAAAATTCACAAAAATTTCTTGTGGGGTGAACATAGTAAGAAGATTCACTTAGTTGGGTGGGACAAGGTCACTAGGAAAAATAGTCAAGGTGGTTTGAACCTTAGAAAAGCTAAACTTAGGAACATTGCTCTCATGGCCAAGTTGATTTGGAGAGCTAAGAAGAACCCTGACAACTTTTGGGTTAGAGCTTTAAGAAGCAAATACAAGCTTGATAGGATGGAACTTAGAAAGGGAACTAACTCTGATGTTTGGAACAGCATGGTTAAAGGGGCTGATGTTTTCAATAAGGGCTGTAAAGTCATTATTAAGAATGGTCGGTCTACTTTCTTTTGGTCTGATAGCTGGTTAACTAACGCCCCTCTTAGGAGTTTGATCCAGGGTCCTTTGGGCCCTAATGAGGAATTTTTGTTAGTAAGTAACTGTATCTGCACCAATGGGGAATGGAAGCTTGATCAGGTCTCCTTTGAGTTTCCTCCAGAATTACAAAGCAAAATTAAGTCCTTGATGTTTTCTACTATTGATTCTGCACCTGATACTGTTGTTTGGAATTTTTCTAAAAATGGGGAGTTTTCTTTGAATTCTGCATATGACCTGGCTAATGACACTAAGGAGTGCAATTTTGAAAAGAATTTTTGGAAACAGATTTGGAATGCAAAATGTCATTTTAGGATCAAACATTTTTTGTGGACTGTGTCCCATGACAAAATCTGTTCTAAATCCTTACTTTACCATCGTAATATTAATCCTGATCTTGTTTGTGATATTTACCCTGACTCAGAGGAAAGCACTCTTCACATTCTAAGGGACTGTTCTTATGCAGTCTTGGTTTGGAATTCCTTCTCTCAGCTTCCTGCTGATTTCTTTCAATATAATTTTAAAGACTGGATCCTCTCTAATTTGTCTACTGATCTGTTTGTTTCTGGTCTGAATTGGTCCTCCCTTTTTGCCTATTCTTGCTGGACCATCTGGTATGCTAGAAATCTTCGAATTTTTCAGGGGAAAAGCATGCTCCCTGAAGAAACCTTTTTTTCTATCAAGCTTAAAGCTTCTGAGTTTGTCTTCTTGGGTCTTTGTCCTATCAAACCTGTCACAAGATCAATGGTGAATGTTCGATGGAATCCCCCCTCTCTAGGGTGGTTTAAATTGAACTCTGATGGATCACCAGAGGGAAATCCAGGAGTTGTAGGGCGGGGGGGGGGGGTTATAAGAAATGACAGGGGTGATTGGATTGTGGGTTACTCGAGAAGAGTGGATTTTACTACTAGTCTCCAAGCAGAGTTTGGGGAATAAGGGATGGGTTGACAATAGCAGTGGAGAGGGGAATACATCACCTTGAGATTAATATTGATGCCAAAGTGGTTATCCATTTGATTGAGAATGCTAATACTGATTTGCATCCTTTGGCCAACATTATTTCTGATTGCAGGCTTCTCATGTCCAGAATTCCGAATGTCAAATTGTCTCAGTGCTTTCGGGAAGCGAATAGGGCTGCTGATGCATTGGCCAGTAAGGGTCTACAAACTGAATCTTTTGTTATTTGTAGTACTCTACCTATTTTTGTTTTTGATATTATTATGGATGATTTGAGGGGAGTTACCTTCCCCAGGATTGTAAACATTTAATCCTTAATCAAGTACCTTTTATACCAAAAAAAAAAGCATAAAAAAGCTTCAAAATTTATTAATTTTAAATAAATTAGGAGACGTGGGCTATATGGTAATTCTTGCAATGCTAATAGATCCAAGCAATTTTCAAAGGCCGAGATGAAGTGGAGCCCCACTTGTTTCTTTGTTTGGTCTCCTTATCAAAACAAGCCATCAAATGGGCCCCGCTTAATGTCCCAAAAGAGTCCAAATATTATCTCCACTAAATTACGAAACCGCCCTTAACGGGACCTACAAACGCCGTTGAGCATAATAATTTGTTTTTTTTTTGGGCCAGAAGGTTGAGCATAATAATTACTTACATTTTTCAAAGGTGTTTTTTTTTGGCACCAAATTTCAAAGGTGTTTAAAAGAAGAATGGAAAAGGCAAATTAGGTGTAAAATTCGTACCATGAAAAAAAAAGAAAAAAAAAGGTAAGTCCGTCGGCCATCTTTCGAACGGCGTTGAGCTATGTTCACACGTGGTCTTTATTCATTCGATGCACCGTCAATCTTTTAATTCACATTATGCCCCTGTAAAAAAATACTACTACTACTAAGTAATACAAGATTTGAATTCAAATGATTTTTCTTTGAACTTTTGACTTAAATTTAATCATTCAATACTGAAAACAAGTTACGAAACATTTTAATACTCTTCATGATATAACATGATATATTATTTCTGTAAAAAAATGATATATTATTCTTGTCAAAACATTCCATTATCCTTTTTATATCATGAATATTTTACATTGCTCTGTGTGAAATAAGTAATATAATAATAATAATTTTATTCACAATCATTTATTTTTCATCTACTTAAAGTTTAGGAGAATAGAAGGTTATTTCATTTTAAGGCGAGGATAAGTTTTTACATGCAATATAAAAGTTATTGTCCATTGATTTGATGGCCTTGTCTAACAACAACAATAACAGCTATTCACCCATCTTTTCTTCTCCATTGGGATCAAACTTGGTAGTGTAAGACAATTTGTTTTGCACATGAAATCCATTTAGGACAAATATTGTTGAAAGGATTCGACAAGTTTGAAAGTAGATAATAAAACTAATGTAAAAAAAAACTTGCAACTTTCCCATGGTTGTAACCAAAGTGGGTGTTCCACAATACATGATGCAACCACTTCCGAAGGCCCTCAATAAATTCAATTCCCATCCTCATGAAAAATTTTATTATAATCTTATCCCACTCAAAACAATAGTCAAAAGCACTATATTAATTTTAGCACTAAATCAAAGAAACCATAAACCCCAAATTGATCAATATGTGAATGTCTTTTTTTCTTATATCATTTTGCCTTCCCTTATACCTTGTCCTCCTATGGACCCAAAATTTTAAAGATTGGATGATTAATTAAAAATCATTTATAATTTCAATTATGAAACTTCCAAAAACTCTTGTGTTTAATTGTTTCAATTATACCGCCCTTTCTTGCTTCATTACAAGTTTCATTTGTACTTTTGATTCTTGATTTTCTTGTTACTTAAATTAGAGAACTTTTTGAAGTTTGGAAAGCAAAGGGTACTACTATATATAAGTCATAAGATAACTCCAAAAAACATGCAATTCAATAAGCGTTATAATATCCACCAAAAACTCAAAAACATGAAGCATGCTAATATATTCTTCATAAGGTCCCACCATATATTGAGATTAAGAATTTTAAAAAAGGGTACTTTTTAGATGAAAGTTGACTATAGGAACAGTTGAAGTCACTAATGTTAGCAAAAATTAAGGCAAAATGTGTTGGGTGGAGTGACACTTGAAGTTGAAATTCTTCAATCTTCAACACATTTGTCCAAATTAGATATATAGTAGTATTAGTCTTTATATAATGGCCAATTATCTTCATCAAATACATGTGCTATCCATTACTCCAATTTTCAGGTTAAAAGAAATTTTGATTTGATATTCTCCAAATTTTAGTAGCTAGTTAGTGCACTTTGGATTTGTTAGTACCATGAATCACGGAAACATATTCCTATTCTAATTTATAATAATGATTACAAGAAGTAATCTTTCAATATCTTTTCTCCACATACAAACTTTAATTTGATAAATATTCATTCAACAATAATCATTTTTTTTATATTTCATATATAAACTAATGATATATTAGATTTTTAGAAAATTAAATATTAATCATAGAAGAAAATTTGTTAATTACATATGCATGATGGATCTAGTGAAAGGAGTTTGTTACTCATTAAGTAAAGTTTCAAATTCAAGTTCTGTGAATAGCGAAATTAAGTATTTGAGAATTTACTTCATTATGGGTTCAACACAGTTTGACATCATATTAGTTGGGACTTAGAATATATATCGTATTAAAAATTCTTTTTTAGCGAAAATTCTTTTTCCAGATAAAATTTGTTAACCTAAAATAGAATGGAAAAATGACCACAGATTACACGAGCATTTGACTTTATTTGTGTATATAGGATTACATAAGAAATCATAAATTAATGGTTTTTTTTTCTTTTACCTTTCTTCAAAAAAAGATAAAAGATTAAAAATAAATGAACTCCTAGTGGAACTGTGGAAGTTGAACTATTGAAAAGGGAGGAAAGCATGAGATCACATTTCACCTTGAGCTGCACTAAAATCAGAAACTCAATTGATAAATATAGCAAGATGTTGACTCTAAAGGTGGGGAGAGGCTGCTGCAGCTATGAATGAGAGCCTTTTCTATTTTTTCTTGCAGTTGCATATGCACTTGACAATTAGTTGCATTGCATAAATATAAACATATATCTTCTTCAAAATCACAATATTCCTTGTATATATCCAGAAAGGATGAGTGTGGATTTGCCTGTAATCCCTGTCCCCATTTCTCTTTTAGGTTTTCCAATTTGGAAGGGCTTGCTTTTGAGTGCAGAAGCTGCACATGACACAAACCCTCTTTTTAATCAAATCCTCATTTGTCAACACCTAATTTTTTTCATCATTATCTTTTTCTACTGCTAACATACAGTAAGTTCAAATGATTTTTTATCCACATACTATAAACATTCAAATGAGACACTGACATATATTCTCAAATTTTTCTGATTGATTTGCTAGTGATCTTAACTTAAAATTGTTTCAATTATTAGCCTTCACTATACAATATTGCCAAACTTTTTTCTTTGCTTGCCTTCCTCAATTATTTGCTTTCCAATATCCTTTTTTTTTTTTTGAAGAGCATCAAAGAAGGATCCAATATCATTTGTTGTGCGAAAGCGAATGAGATAGCCAGATAGGAAATCAAGAATGAGAAAAAATAAGACGCAAACGATTTACATGATTCAGTCAAAGTCAATGTGACCTATCTCCATGGATTGGAAGATAATTTTTTTTTTTGAGAAATTATTCCTGTATGTAGTTACACGGAATAAAAATGCTAGATATAATACAATTGGTTTATTGAAAAAATAAGCATCATAACTATTATGAATAAATATTAAATAAGTCAATAAAATTCAATTTTTACCAATCAAGCCCCTATTATCCCAATTTTTGATCATATAAGCCCTTATGTCATCACAAAAAGTCAGTCAGCATGTCACGTAGCCTGAAAAATGCCACGTCAGATTTGGGTAAATTTTCTGGGAAAAGAAAAAATTTTAAAAAATAATTGAGTGGTAGCATGAAACTAAATTTTCTGAAAATAACTTCAGATTTTTTTAATTTTTTTTTCTTTTTGATAAAATTTACTCTAAGATGACGTGATATTTTCAGGCATGTGGCATGATAATCTGGCTTTTTCTCACGGTAGAAGAGTTTATCCGGCCAAAATTTGATTTTTAAGGGCTCGATTGACCAAAATTGAAGTTTATGAACTTATTAGACACGTTATATAGTTTATGGGCCTATTTTTTTTTAATAATCCTAATACAATCACCAATCGGCCTTTGCTATACCTGGCTGAGTGGCTGGCTTCCACGGTTCCACCACAAATCTCAATGAAGAATTCCATTCAGGTTACATCACAATTTGAGGCAAATCATTAAAATTCAAATCACCGATCTCTACATATATTCTAATTTCTAGGGTACTCTATTTGCTTTCTATAAATGACAAGGAACATTTTGTTAAGAAAATCTCAAGTACAATCTCTCTAGGATAAAAGAATCCAATTTAAGATATGGTTTGTTTGCATCTCTTTTCAATAAGATCAAAACTGTTAGTTCAGATTCTCAAATTAACACAGGGCCATATCTTGAGAAAACAAACACTAGTATTAGTGATCATAATTGTACAAACAAATTAAATTGAACTTTTTTGGAGCATTTTCTTGTTCACGAGGGTTAAGACAGATTCATTGCAGCTTTATAATCTTCAAAAAGGAAAATAAAAAGAAAAAGGGACAGATTGGACTTGTGCTACAGAATGATTGCTTTGAGTAGTCTTAAAAGTTGATTAAGCTCCAAGAAAAATCGGCAAAAGCTGCTAATTTATAGAAAATTAGATGTTCATGTTTTCATGACAAACTTTCTCTCTTATTTTCTTTGCTTTTGTTTTGTGTTTTTAAAACCTTTTTCAGGTTTAAGTTTTTGTATGCTTGTTTCACGTGCCCGTTGGATTTCGAGAGATACCATGAATACAATCATTACTTTGATAAAAAGTCACCAACTAACTTAGCTAAATTACTTTACTATATATATTAACCAAGAATTTTAGCACCTCTTGGATTGTTTTTTTATTATAATGTACTATACACTAGTGTTACTTTTTCAATTTTTGTTTAGTTTTTACCATTTTTTGTAGGATTTGCAAATGCAAAAAGCAATTTTCTTGTATAGTTGTTAAGTTACTTTTATCATGCATGCTTGTTTGATTAAAGCAATTTAATGGTCATATATCTTTCATCTCTTTTCTTTGTGCCTTGTCTTGTACATCAAGTCAATTTCGGTATCCTTGCCACATATAGATTATTACATATAGACATATACCTTTCTTCTTTCGGTACAAAGAC